CATTTTCGATCGTTCAGTTATATGGCAGCTATAAGATATAGTCGGCCGATCCTTATGAAATTTGGCATGTCGTAATGTTTTGCCAACAATAGCTTTCCTGTAAAATTTGAACTCTCTAACTCTAAAAACACCAAAGTTATACCATTTCCGATCAATCCGTTATATGGCAGCTATAGGATATAGTCGGCCGATCCGGGCCGTTCCGACTTATATACTGCGTGCAAAGGAAAGAAGGGTGTGTGCAAAGTTTCAAGACGATAGCTTCAAAACTGAGAGACTAGTTCGCGTAGAAACAGACAGACAGACGGACAGACAGACGGACAGACAGACGGACAGACGGACAGACGGACAGACGGACAGACGGACATGCTCATATCAACTCAGGAGGTGATCCTGATCAAGAATATATATACTTTATAGGGTCGGAGATGTCTCCTTCACTGCGTTGCACACTTTTGGACAAAATTATAATACCCTCTGCAAGGGTATAAAAAATGTATATAAATAAATACATAAAGCTATTGTCATTCTTTTTCCCCGTTCGTGGCTTCCGAAAGCTTAAAAGTCTTCAAGTGAAGCCTGCTCATAAAAGAGGCACTAGGTCACTGAAAAAAAATTCAACTTTTATTGGAAATAAATTTTCTAAAAAAAAATATAAAAAACTATTCTTAAAACTAGTTACATTCTAGAACATTTTCAGTGGACTAGACTCTCCTATTCCTATTCCCATTCCTATTCCTTCCACTTTGAAGTTTGTTGCTGTAGTCATTTGTCAGACTCGAAAGGATGCAAAAATTAAAACATGGCCCAGAGAGAACTGATGGCCTAATGGGGGCGGACAGGGGGGGCGGGCCAGAGGAAAAGTGCAAATGTGTGCCATGACAGGAGAGAACCGAGTTAGAGGGGAGGATGGCGGGGGGAGTGGCAAACGTTAAGTGGCAAACGAAGTCAAACGGACGGCGACGCTTTTATTTTTGATGCTTCGCTGCCTCTTTGTGTGGCACTCTCGAAGCTCGACGAGAAATTGGCCAGAAAAGGCTGGCCGAAAACTGGCACGTTCCTATATAGCTATGGTATCTATAGGAGCACACTCCACTCCCCTATCTCCACCGCCCCCCCCCCTGGCTGGCTACCCATGACAACATGACAACAAAGGGGTCATTTACTTTCCTTGCAAGCAGCATGAAATAATCGTTCGTCGTGTTTTGTGGCTCCAAAGGCAAAAAATGAGCCCCAAAAAAAAAGTCAGGCCAAAGCCAAAGCCAAATAAAGCGCCAAAGCAAAAGTCAAACTCACATATTTCGTGAAAAAAAAGGAAAATGCAACAAAGACTATTGATAAAGTATTTCAATCAAAGCCTCAATAATACCGTGTAATGAGGCCTTACTTTTTAAAATAATTCCAGCTATTGGAAGCATTTTACATTAAAGATTTAATATCTATTTCTTACCATACTTTCTTGTTATTAATTAAAACCCTTATACCTTTAATATTCCATCATACCTTTGGCTTTTAATTGGTATTGGGTAAAACAACAGCAGGAAGGAAAATATAAAGCTCAGAGATAAATGAAATTGGCAACAGAAGCGACAGCCATGGAAAGGATATAGGCAGGACCTCGCGACTGAGGCAGCACAATTCCGAATTCTACAAGGCCCCTAACAGACCCAGGGATTCAGCTCTGAAGTTGACTTCTCCATTCCATTTCGATTGTTTTTTTTTTGAATTTTTTTTTGATATCAAAAATCGATTAACAAAATGCCGGCAGCGATGCGCCTGGAAAAGTGCCGCAAAACTTTAACGGCACATTTAAAAAGGCATTTCACTCAAAATACATATAGATATATATATATTCGCGTGCCAACGTCAGTCTCGATATATGTATGTATGTTTGGAAGACAGAAATAAGATATAATTGGTATAAAATGCCCGTTTATTGCCGTCACGAATATCGATTTCTATATCAGGATGTGTCACGTGCAGATAGCAAATCCTATTGCGGGAATCCCCCATCCCTAGATGATGCATTTCTGTAGATTGATTCAGGAATAATAGAATGAACTAATAACAATTGTAAAATTACTTATTCATACCGGAAGCTGAACGAATATACTATATTAATTTTTTATTTAAACTTCTGATCTCTCGGGGGGTATTTTTTTTTCAGTTACGGTTCATTAAATAAATAATTTTTTAGCAGAAAAAAATCACAAACAAAATCTGAATTCTGTGGTTTTTATTTCAAACCCCCTAGCTATCATGAAGTCAGACCTCTGATCTCATTGCGTTCCATTACCCAACCCCAGTACGCATTTAAATTATTTTGCAATCAGAGAAGCCCCTCCTCCCTCCTCCCTGCCTCCTCTGGAAACTCAAAACACGAAACTACAAAAGAAAACTAATGCTATTTAATGTAAAGGTAAACTTATACGTCTCATACTTTCAGTTAGCACAGCCCCCCTAGTACTCCTCCTTTGAGTCTATGTTTACAAGTTGCAGCATTTCCATTAGGCGAAAAACACACACAGACAACAACACACACACACACAGTACAGTGTGTAAATGTTTTATAACCGACTTCATTGCGTCTTGTGACTTTAAAATAGTTTTCATTACTCCATTGTCTATAATTAGGAATTGCTGACTCGGTCGATGAGAAGCTACACGGAGAGGAAAAGGTTAGTATTATACTATATTTTATATTTTAAAGATTGAGAGTTTAAAGTTAAACAGAAGGTTTTGCTACCTCAACATTCTTATCGTGATTAGCTATGAAAATTTCGTAATAGAATATTTAGGTGGGGAATATGGTTTGAAAATTGTTTATTCCGATTTTTTTTATATATATTTTTTTTTAATATTTATATTTATTTTTATATGCTGATTATTGCATGAATATCTTGTTTAATTTGTATTGTTCTTTACCTTTTTTTTTTAGTTTTTTAGTATTGGTTCTAAACTGTTAAGCTTTTTTCCTAAAAAAACGTAAATTTTTAAAGTAAGTGCCCATTAAAACTCAAAAACTACGGTACCGATTGTTTTGAAATTTGATACACAGATTCTAAATTGAAACTACCATGTATTTTGATGATTTATGTTTAAAATTGTGAGTGTTTTTCACTTTATTTTATAAATTAAGCCCCTTTTTGTTAAAGAAACATGTTTTTTTTACTATAAAATGTTTCTAAATATGTGTATATTTAAAATTTCGTAAAACCTTGCCAGTATTATGTGAAGAAATCTATTTTCTAACCATTAACTTTTGATTTTGGGACATTAGATGATCCAGAATGGAGTTAAAATTCGAAAAATGGCATTTAAAATCCTTTTTTTTCAGATTCTTGAGAATAATGGCAACCATTGTCGTATTTCTCGCAATAGAAGGTAATATTTCTTTTAATATAGAGTTCTATTATACGCCCTTTTAATACAGTAATTAGTTTGAAAAATATTCCCCAAGAATAAGTCAGAAAAACTCTAAATTTTTCCCACGAATTAACACCATTACCCCCTTAAACAAATACCAAATATTAAGTCATTTTTCTCGCCATGTAGCAATTGAAGAGAATCCGAGTTCGAGTCTATAATTAGGATGTTGTTGGGGATAGGGCGAGGAGTAGGGCGTAGAGTGGGAGCATGAAGGAGGTGGGTCTTGGAGAGTGACACGTTTCAACGCTGATACCCGAAGCTGATTGCAGCCAATGCCAATCGGAATTTGTTGATGGATTCGATTCGATTCGGTTGCGATGCGACTTGAATCGAAAACGGGGGAGGGGGGGGGCCAACCGACACTGGAGCTCGTTAATGCAAATGTTTAAATGTTTGTCTCTCGTCTCGAATGAACCGTTATCAGCTCCCCAAAATTTCAAAGAAACAGAAACATAAACAGTAGATTGCCAGACCAGCCAAGGGCAAAAAAAAAAAAAATACTGGTAGTGGAAATAAAGAAGGGGCCGCCTGTCTCAAGTCTCAAGTCTCAGACATCGAGACAAACAAAAATTCAATAAAAATAAAAATAAACTGGAATTAAACATAAGCCAATAAGCACACGTTTGTGAAGAAACAGAAAACGACTAGAAAGCTGAGAAAATTGTTGAAAAAAATATCAATATTCCTAAGCTTGTGCAATTAATTTCTGAGAAGGTCAAAGGGTAACCTTATTGTTTTTTATTGAATTGATAGGAAATTTTAATTGTTTTTTCTTTGGAAATAAAATTTCACAACTTGTAAAAAGCTTTCGTATAAGCTTGGGTACTAATTATATGAACACCACTGTTTTGGGTTATTTTTTTTGTAGGCCCTGGTGTGAGAACGCACCAAACTGGTCTCAAGTCTCGAAAATATGCGCTCAAGGTCGGTCAACGGGCTTCGAGAAACAACAACAACAAAACCAGCTGCACCTCAAAAATCCAGAAATCAGTTTCAAAATAAAAATTATAATAAAAAAGGTAAAAAGCTGTAATAAGCGCCGTGTAGAAAGCAAAAATCAGAAAGCCACCGAGAAAGAGATCCGAAATTCTGGGAGCGGAAGCAACAGCGACAAAGCAAATTAAAAGCAATTGTAGAAATTTCCTGAGTTGGCGAAAATATTTATGCTAGTGGTTGCCACCCGCGCATAAATATATACACACAGAAAAAAATAACTATCTATAAGATATTAAAATTAGAAAATTATAACACCCACTCACTATTAAGCAAAAAAGCTAGCAAATGCTGTTATTTTTTTTAATAAATTTTTGAATTCCGAGAAGCGAAAGGCAGCCAAACAACTTTTGTGGTTATTAAGCCTAGGATAATAAACAGAGCAACAGGGCACGCATGATCAATGGGTTGGGGGAAATGGGGGCCAGAGCCCCACAGCCAGAGCGGGAGAGCGAATGCCATGTGCTAGCTAGCCGCACCGTTCTAACTCCCTTCCCCAAACAAGTGCCAGAATCAGGAAAATAAAACAAAGGAGCAAAGTATTGTAGAATCTGGTAGGACTTTAAAATAATACTTACTTTATCCAGGCACTTGAGCTCCTCGATGGGATAAACCACCTTCTGACAACGGGCACAGGTCTTATTCATTTTGATCCTCGACTTTCTTCCGTTTTCGATTGTATGTGTGTGTGTATAAGCACTTCTTCTATTTACACCAAAAGAGCCAGCCAGCCCCACCGATCACTGGATTGTTGGATCAACTTTTTCTTAACTTTTTCTGCTGGGAGACACTTTTCCACTCCACTCGAATTCCACTCAATTTTGCATTTCGAACGAGATAGATAGAAGGGGGGTTGGTATGATGAGAGAGAGGTATACTTTATATAGTAGAGATGATGTCTGATCGGATCGAAACTATGGGAATGGGAATTATATTGTTGTGTGTGTAGTTATGGGGCCGAGAATCTGTTTTACACTATATGGTATTTCAAAGCTGGTAACAGCTAGTAACTGGTTTGCTTTGTTATTATATAAAACTCGGATGTCAAGATCTCCGGATCAGCTCCGTAAACTCTTTCACGTTAAAAATTCACACTTTTTTTTGTTGGCGGCTGCGGCTGCGCTGCAGCGGTACACGATACAGGAAGAACAAGAGTAGCTGCTTGGCGTCGGGCAGGTAAACAGGTGCCTCGAAATTCACTATTATTTCCAATTATGGAGAAGAACCGATTCGAGGAGAATTTCAATTCAAAACGCTATTTGGTTTCAATTCAATGAGCGCGACACAAACAAAAACTACGCGTTAGTCCGACGCACGTTCGTTCAGTTGGTTGATTGGAGCAGTATGGCGCCGCTGTTGGGACTATTTCTTTGATTTGGAGGGGGGCATCGACTCGATTATTCGATTTCCGTTTCGCCAGGGCTGCCGATCAAAATTTATCGGTCGAACCGCGAAACCAGTTTGGTATTTTTAGATTTTCAAAAAAATTAACTCTTTCTTATATTTTTTTTAGGTCTATTGTAGTCTTTATAAATCAGTTCTTCACCCGGTTTCTAATCTGTTTTAATGGTAGTCTTTATAATTAAAAATATTTAAGTTTTAAAAATGACAAAAATTGTACTAAAAAAGGGCCTAAACTTTTCTTAGCCGAAAAATACCAACTTCATTAGTACTAAAGGTTCTGAAACTGGGTAGATTTGAAAATGTTTAGTATCAGAGAAATAAAAATAAAACCAATTTTTGTTAACAGTTTAAAAATTAAATAAAAAAAATAATATATTAATGAGCCAACGACTCTTTATGCGGATGTTTTTTGCATTTATTAAAAAAGAAAAACAATTGCTTTGTCAGCAAAGTTTCAAACCTTTCCACATATTCACCACACCAAAGAAGTGATTTAAATGGATTAAATGGTTTAATTCTATTTTTATTTATTTAAAATTCATTTAATAAATAATATGTAAAAGTTTGGTTTATATTAAACTGGTTTATATATTGTTTATATTAAAGCAATATCCAATGTTATCGATTGGCCCAAAAAAACACTTTACCGGCTACCATACAGGGTGCTCATGGTCTCACGCCCACCACCCTTGTATCCTTGGAGTTTTACTATCGAATTTTTTGTGTGTGTCCATTTCCTGCAGCTCCTAGGGCGTAAAACTAAAATTGTCAGGGAAACACAAGAAAATCGCAATTAATGTGCGACAATTCTAAGTGGAAATTTTGGCCAAGGCTTTAGAAAAAGCAAAAAAATACCCAATTGTGTAAATAGCGAATAAAAGTAGAAGCTTTCGAATTGGCTTCGCCCTGCCCCAGAACCGGGAGTGTGTCAATCAATTCTTTGTCTTCTCATTCATTTTTTTTGTGGGCAGACAAAGACATTCAATGGACCGGAAATAGTGTAATTGGAAAATCTGAAAATCGTGACAACGAATCTAGATATAAACCGTAATATTATAGAAAAATTAATGCTGCATGATGATAGGCGTAGTTGCTGCAACCCCAACCCCCATGTCGCCTGAAAGTAGGCAAAGTGGAAGTAAACACGCACACAGATGCATGCCCCATTGAAAAATCAATAATCCCAGCCGGCGCGTAGTGCCCGAGTGCCACAATAACAACAAAAATAGGCTCTCTTAAAAAAAAACAGGAACAAGTGTAAACAAAAGCACAATCATAGTAAAAACAACGAGTATTACGCAAAGTAGTACATAAAATAATAACGATAAAACATTCCGCCCTTAGAGGAGCTCAGGCATAGTCATTATACGCAACATAATACGAGGCCAAAGGAATCCTTACACGAATGCCAATCAGCTTTTCCTAAGCACCATGCAAACGCTGCGCAAGAAAACGAGTCCTTGTAAATGTAAGTACAAGGAGATCTAATTAATTAGTATTTTAAGGAAATATTATTTTTAATCACATTAAACTATGATATCATAAGTTCAAACTCTGATATATTAAAACCAGTTTTGGTTCACCCGCCTGACCGATCGGTTTAAGCCAGACTATCGATTGGCGGCTTACCTGAACTGAACCTGGAACCAATCGAATGCTTGATCGAGTAGCAGCTGCTGCGCCGGCGTCGCTGTTGTCGGCAGGTGGTGCAATTCTCCAGCAAAAACAACAAAGAGCCACAACAATTTGCTGGCGCAAAATCCACTAAAAATGAGTACATCCATTAGATAGAAAATTCAGAAAATGAAACTAAAATAATAGAGTGAAATTTGTGTATACCCGTGCGTATGAGTGTTTTTGTTTGTTATTTGAATTGAACAAACTGCGACAATCCAGTACACTGAGAAGAAACACATACATGGAAAAAGAGAAGAACGTCCCAGAAGAGAATCTACAGCAACAGCACTCACTAGCATCGAACGCGCAAAAATATTCTCTCATTCGTTGCCATTCATTCCATGATCTCGGTTCGGATCGTCTTCTTTTTGTTGTTGCTCGAATTTAATTAAATCTATAGTCGTGAAAAATCGTTCTGGAATACAATTCTCATTGTTTGTGTGTGTCTCTATCTGTGCTAACCACCCACCACCACCTCCCTGATCCAAATGGCAGTGTCACCCAAACAGAAACTGACACCACCACTCTGGTAGTCAGTAGTCAGTGGCTAGGAGCCATCCGGTGAGATCCAAATCATGGTCAAATCCCTGGTGGCCAAGCTGTCCACAGCCTCCTCCAATCTCTCCAGCACCTTTGGCGTCGGCGGCAGCGGCAGTGGTGGCGGAACAGCGACTGAGGAAACGAATTACGCAAAACGTTAGCAAAAAAACAAACTAAACAAATACACAAATAACAAACAGTGGTCCCTCCCAAGTGAGACAGGCGGTCTAAAATTTCAAGATACACGCGAGAGATACGCAGATACTTAGATACTAAGATACATAGATACCCTGGATAGGTATATACAGTTCTAGTAGGGTTTGGAGTTAGTTTTTAGTAATCTATGAATGGAAAGATACATTAAAACTCTGTCTTAAAATATATATCAGCAAGATTATAGTTCCATTCTTAAAATTTCTTTTAAATTTGTAGCATTTATTCACATAATTGTCTCATCTATGTATTGCCATTTAAAAACCCTTTTAGGCCTTAAATTTTATAGAAGACCTACTACTTCTAGTTCTATACTATAAGTATATATTTACTTGTTACTTATTTATTTAAAAATATATATTTATAAACACTGAAATCATTCAATAGATTCTACAAAAATGCAGCCAAGCGAATAATTACTAAAAAAAAGTGCCAGAAATAGAGAAATATTTCCAATATACCTATAAAAATAGATGGGGTTCCGCTCAATTAAAATTATGTATTTCCAAAAATTCAAAAACAAACAGTAGTATTAGTATAGAATAGTATAGATAAGAGAAAATTCTTTCATATATTACTAATATGTATATATGCACCTATTATTAATATACTGTATAGATTAGATATCAAAATAAATAAAAAAGAAGAACATAAAGTATTTACAACTAAGTTAGTGCATTAAACTAATTTATTTGTAAATAAATTTAGTAACTACATATAAGTAGTAACTACATTTTCACACTAGATTGATTTTCTTATATCTACATATAGTATAGTTAGGCCCGCACCCTAAAATCTCAAGGTTCACCTCACTGCCCGAGTGACCACTGCACCAAAAAAATAAAACAATTTTCAGAAAACAAAGAAATTTCGAATTGAAAAAAAAACATATACTCATTCCGGTGTACTTTCTGTATTTTTCAGATCGCAATGATCCGGGACGATTTTTCGGCGATGGCGTTCAGTTCAAGGCCAAGCTCATCGGCATTCTGGAGGTGGGCGAGGCGCGAGGCGATAGGATGTGCCAGGAGGCGTTGCAGGACCTCAAGATGGCCATACGGGCTGCCGGCGAACACAAGCAGAGGATAACCATTCATGTGACCATCGATGGACTGAGGTTGAGGGATGAGAAGACGGGCGACTCCTTGTACCATCATCCCGTCCACAAGATCTCGTTCATTGCCCAGGACATGACCGATTCCAGGGCGTTCGGGTACATCTTTGGGTCACCGGACAGCGGCCATCGGTTCTTCGGCATCAAGACGGACAAGGCGGCCAGCCAGGTGGTGCTGGCGATGCGTGACCTCTTCCAGGTGGTCTTCGAGCTGAAGAAGAAGGAGATCGAGATGGCGCGCCAGCAGATCCAGGGGAAATCCCTGCACGATCACGCCAGCCAGCTGGCCTCCCTGTCCTCGCTGAAGTCCGCCGGCCTGGGCGGCGTCGGTCTGGGTCTTGGCGGGCATGGCGACCTGGCCAGCGGTGTATCTAGTGGCGGGCATGCACTCACCTTGCTGGGAGGCAGCCTCAACTCGGCCTCCAATGGAACTAGCCGGCTGGGAGTGACTCTCGACGTGGCCAAGGCATCGGGATCGGCGGCCAAAGAAGTATATCCTCCAGAATAACATCCTCAAGACCATTTACTGATTACTTTCGATTTCTTACAGATCTCCCCCGAGTCCGTGGCCGATTTGGTGGACCTGGAGCAGGAGCTCACCTCCCTGCAGCGGGGCATCAGCCAAATGGAGCGCATTACTCCCAATGACCCCGCTTCCAGCGGTCATCCCACTTTGGCCAAATCCGCCAGCGAAGACGATCCCTTCGGGGACTCTTTCATCTACGTGCCCTCGTACAACATCCTGCCACCGCCGCCCGACTCCGGACGCAATCGCCACAAGCCAAATAAGACCCCAGAGACGGCGGCCAGCCTGGATGCGATGCTATCGCCGGCTCCAGGTGCCAGCAGTTCCCAGTCGCCGGCAGCCCAGGTGGTGGACAACGACGATGACAACTGGCTGCAGGAACTGGAGCAGCAGAACGACGTCTTCGACACCACCAAAGTGGGCACCGCCGCCGGACTAGGCTCTATTATGACCATGGCACCCCTGGCATCCAGCGAATCCACAGCCACGCCGACCCAGCAACTAACAGAGATGGGAGGATCTGGAACGCTGGGAGATCTGGATATTGGTTTGGGATCAGGCTCCGTTCTGGGCCAGGCATTGAGCAGCGAAGATCAGGCCGCCACAGTGTTGTCGCTGGGTAAGTCCCGCCAGTCTAGTCTTCATTTTAGTTTCCATTTCATAGCTTCTTTGTGAGATTTCTCGTTCCCAGTTGAGCGATGAAAGAGCTGTCTGTGATCGTGTCTTCCCGCAAGGGAACAATTGGGAGAAGTCGCGGGTCAAATTAATTGAACTGAATTGAATCTTTTGGGTGTGGAAGTCTCTTACACGAAGTTGTAAACAGGCAGCTCTTTCGTTCGAACATTCATCTTGATTTTGTAACCCGATAACCCAACTATTATAATTTTATTTAATCCCCACATTAACCCCACAAAGCATTTAATTACCATTAACACCTTGTGCTACCTCCCCGTTTTGTTTCCAAAAAAACAATCTTCGGTTCTATTCGAAGAGTCTACTTCTGATCTACTTTTCCCCCAAACACGAATGTTGAGTTTGAGTTTGTTTGAGTTTGATTTTGTGCCACCTCCGATTTTGGAGGAGTCTCCTTCTGGAGTCTGGAACAGCACTGATACTCTCCCACTCTTTCCACTCTCTCCACTCTCTGCCTTCCGTTCCATGTCGTGCAGATGCGTTCACGGATCTGGATCCGCTGGGCACGGGACGCACCAGGCCGTATGTGGATAAGAAGTACTTCTTCCAAGAGCTCAAGAATCCGCCCAAGAAACTGCTCAAGGAGCTCAGCTCCGGCAGCCAGGCGGGTCTCGGTCTGGGCCAGTCCATGGGCCAGCCGGACGGCTTCTTTCCGGAGGACAGCACCACCATCTCCACCACAACCACCACCACCACAGCTACTAACATCACCGCAGGTACTAACCAAATTTCACGATCGCTTTAAAGCAGCACCCCCTCTGATCCTGCACAGAGAAAAAAAAAGTGTCCTCTTCGTAAATGGTTGAGTCCTTTTTTTTTCTCTGTGCATCCAGAGGGTTTCTTGGAGCGAAGAGCTCGCTAAAGTTTGCACTTGCACCACCGCAGGCAACTCGCTGGGGGCCCAGAACTCGGTTAACTCACTAACCACCACCGCTAGCACCGCCGCCAGTCTCGGCCAGCTTCTGTCCTCCGTCTCCGTCTCCTCAGCTCCCATTTCCTTCCCTGCTCCCGCTCCCACTCCCGCTCCCGCCTCCACTTCCATTTCCCATGCAATCTCCACCAGCGCTGAGCTGAAACTGCTGCTCGGCCAAGTCACTAATCCGCCTAATCCCACCGGCCACTATTATACCGCAGAACCACCTACGCTGACTTCCCTGGAGGATCCCCATGGCCATGTCCAGGCGGCCGATCCGGTTCTGCTGCCCCGCGACACGGATCCGTTCTCCCCGACGCGCAAGAAGAGTGATCCGGACCCCTTCCAGGAGGGCGACCTCTTCGCCAAGCTGGACGCCTTTGAGTTTGAGGCTCCGCCGTCAGTGCCGGCTCCTTCGGTCCCCACGGACGCCAAGCCGAACGTCTTCAACGGGCCGCTCCAGGTGCAGTTGCCGCCGGAGAAAGAGCTCGAGCTCCAGCAGCCACCGGCAGCGGCCATATCCTCCAGCACGGTGAGGAATCGTCCCTTGGCCGCGGTGTCAGCTCTGCCCAGTGGCGGACCCCTGGACGTGATCTCCAGTATTAGCAACAAGAAGATGCCGCATCTGTTTGGCCAGTCGCGGGCCTTTGGCAAGTCCTCCGACATCGGATCGAGTGTCAATATGCGGCGTCTGCAGGAGAGCGACTCCTTGAGCGAGACAGAGGCAGCTCCTGAGCCGCCACCGCGTCCGGACTCGGCTCCGTACTCCGAACCGCCGCCGCTGCCGCCGAAGAAGCAGTTCAGCGACCTGGTCATTCGTCCCACGCCCGCCATTCCAACTCCCCAGCAAGCGGCTGGAAGGTACGAGTACCTGAACAGCAGCAGCCAAGTGAGGAGAACTCCATCCTCGTCCGCGGATGCACCGCCCATTCCATTGCCATCGCGTCGCGTGGGTCGTTCCGATGGCAATTTCCCGGGTCCGGGAAGACCCCGAAAGCCGGGACACACCGAGGATGACTACCTAGCGCCGCTGGGAGGACCACCGCCTCTGCTTCCGCCGCCCAGCCAGGGATCCTCGGTCAGGTCGAGACCCCAGAGACAGGCTTCGTTGGGCAGGCCGCAAGATATCTACGAGAACAAGGCGGAGATCCTGCAGGCCCAAGCTCAGGCCCAGGTGCAGGGTCAAGTCCTGGAGAGCAGCGCCCCCCTGGCACCCGACATCACCCTCACCCAGCTCCTCACCCTGGGCATGGACGAGTTGGCCGTCAAGCTGAATGTTCCCGCCAGCAAGCTGAGCACCATGACCCTGGTCCAACTTACTGCCTACCTCTCGGAGTATCTGTCCAGCGAGAAGAGCCAGGTCAGCAGCCAACCAGAGCGGAGATCTTCGCCAGCCAATCCTCCACCGCCAGCCGCTCCGCCCTCCACGGCCGCCGTTTTCAAAGTCAACTTCGATCAGCAAACCTCCTTTGTGGCCAAGTTCGATGACACCTTTGGCGAGGACGAGGTGCTTCCCGCTTCCAGTTCGGACTCCACTTTCGTGGCCAACTTTGCCAACTTCAACGACGCACCCGTTCCCACTCCTATGCCGGGAGCAGGAGCATTATCAGCTCCCATTGTGCCGCCAGCGGATCGGTATGCAGTCTTCCGCGAGATCATCGACCAGGAGCTCCAGCAGCAGCAGCAGGAAACAGACCTAATGGGCGACCTAACTCCCCCGCCAGTGGACGAGAGTCTGATTAAGGAAGCACCAGAGTGCTTGGAGGTGACCAGCGTTGCCCCAGAGCTGCCAATCGATGCCCTGGAGGTCGCTCCGGCTCCCAAGATCGACACGAAAATTACGGAAGTAGTGGCCCAGGCCAAGGATCGGTACGCCGCCTTGAGGGACATCATCCTGGTGGAGAACCTCTTCGACAAGCCTTCACCACCAGTGGCTTCTGCTCAGCCCGAGAAGGACCTGCTGCAGGACTTTCCAGAGTTCAGCGATGAGTTCAACGAGGACCACGATCTGCGCCAGATAATGGACCATCAGGATCACGGGCATAGCCAAGTTAGGGATCGACGGGGTCTGGTAGATAGCAGAGGCTTTCCCGCTGAACCCTCCTCCTCCGCCCTGACTGTGGACGACGACGACGAGGACGAAGATGCCGACGCGGCCGGGGAGAGTAGTCTGGACAGCAATGAGAAGGATGCTGAGCCGGTGAGCGGCCAGGATCAGTACGAGAAGCTGTCCACTTCCACGCAACAGCTGGACACCGCTGCTCCTGTTTTGGAGGATCTGCCCCAGCCGCCTCCTCAGCCTCAGTCGTTGACCCCCAAGCAGGATCAGAAATTCTTGTCGGTCCTAACAGGTCCCCCTGGGGCCGGAACCAAGGACGACATCGAAATCGACGAGCTGATGCATCGGGCCATATCGAATCTCTCCCTGGACTCTAGGGAGCGCGTGTCACCGGCCACATCCTCGGCGGCTCCATCGCGCGGAGCTCCCGGCCTGCACACTCCCTCGCAGTTCAACGATGTCAGCACCTCACCCATTCCCCTCCAGAAGCCGGTCCTGGGCGGCGGTCCTTCGCCGGTGCCCTCCCAGCTATCGGCCGTCTCCCAGCTCATCGACACGGCCACCAAGCAAATAGGGGATCGGGATCGGGAGAAGCAGTCCGCCCAGTCCTGGGCCACCTTCGACTCGCCCAAGAACAAGGGCAAGGCCCGGCTTACTCTTCCACCCCCGCCACCTCCCGCTTCGAACACTTCCCAGCCAGACACGGTGGAGTCGCCCTGCAGCTCCGATCCTCGGGACGATGGTTGGTCTAAGCAGCAGCGCCGTTGGGCGAAGAAAGAGCGCCAGCAGACGTCCTCCTCGTCACGTGATCTCAGTCCCTGGGACGACGAGACCCCCGAGTATCTGAAGCGACGCCAATTGGCCGCCGCCCAAATGGCCCATCCTCACCAGCCGCCGATGCAGCCACCGCCAGATCGGCATGGCTACTACATGCGGCACGCCAGGAGGATGAACTCCTGCGACGAGGATTACGAGTAAGATTATAAGATTAAGCCTGAGAATCCTTATCCTAATGTCCCTAATTTCAGCTACGATGCGGAGTTCATGGCTCGTCGGGATCAGCAGCAGCAGCAACAGCAAAGGAAGTTCAAGCATGGACTCTCTCGCAGCAGGGATAACTTCGATCTAGGTGGGTTCTTCAAAAATATACTCCAAATTCTTCAATAACCATGTATCCTTCACCTTGCAGATTCCCCCAGCTGGTATCACCATCCGGCTCATCATACCTGGTCGCCGCAGGAGATCGAGCAGGCTAGGGCCAGGTCCTTCGAGAGGGCTTCCTATGAACGTTCCAGCTATGGACCACCGCCGCCCATCTACGACAAACGCGGTCAGCTGAGGAGCAAGTACCGCAGCGACCACCGGGACAGGGATCGGGAGCGTGAGAGGGAACGGGACAGGGACCGGGAGTACCGGGACTACGCTCGTCCCAGCTACGATTTCGACTACGAAAACGTGTACGAGGAGCGCGGCGGACGTTCGCCCATGGCCTACAAGCCCGGAAGAGGTGGTGCCGACTACATGTACGACCGGGAAAGGGATCGGGACCGTGACCGCAAGTCCTTCGATCGCGAGAGCCTGGAATCCTACGAGAGCGCCAATCGACGGCGTCGCAGCTTTGGCAGCGGCAACGATGTCTACGGGAGCTTGGACAGCCGCGAAGACTACCGCGGGGAGAGGGACAGGGATCGGGAGCGGGATCGCGAACAGATGAAGACGCGGTCCCTGCGGAAGCCCACGACCACGTCGGGAAAGCTGCGCATTAGCGGTGACATAGACTACGAGCAGGATTCGGAGCAGGACTTCCAGCAGCGGCCAGGTGTCCGGAGTCTGCAGCGGCCCAGCCAGTTGGGAGGGGATGTGGTACTGCCCTCCAGTGCTGCTGGTGGCTCACAGAGACTGCGGAAGAGCAGCGGTTCCAGTCCATGGGATGGAGAGGGTGAGTTTTCAAATCGAATCTCCTGACAGACCTCCTGACTATGGGAATCCTCTTTCAGAACCTACTTTGCCGGGCCAGAAATCCTGGAAGCGTCCAGCCAGTGCTGCGGAAACGGAGAGGCGCCTGGCCGAAAGTCGTCGGGCGGCAGCTTTGGGACAAACTCCCTCAGACGGTGAAAAGGAGCGAAGGTGAGAGGATTATTCTTCCATTAAGAATACAGACTATATCCAATATTTCCTTAAAGATTCCGCAAGAAGACACGTGCCCGCAGTGCCAAGGATTTGGCCAATATGGGCACCAATCCCGGCTCGGCTGTGCCACCTTCCCGCTACGGTCGTCCTGGTATGAGGGATAACTATGACTATATGGGTCCACCCGGCCAGCGGAACGACGAAGTGGACGACGAAGATGATGACGACGACGAGGACTACGTGGACGATGAGCCGCCTACGGATGAGGACAAGTTCGAGAGGCTGAATCGCAGAAGGCACGAGATGCATCAGCGGATGATGGAGAGCGAGCGACGGCACATGGAACGGCATCAGCCACCGCCGGCGCTGGGCAAGTTACCGGGTCAGAACCGGAACCGTGGCGGCGTAGGTGTCGTCAACAGCGATTACGGATTTGTGGACAGCTACGAGCAGACACCTACTCCGACACCGCGCTCCAATGCCAGCAGTACGGGTCCCGGGGGCATGATGATGAGCGGCGGTGAATCCTCTGCCGGGGTGACCAGTTCCAAGTTTAATTTCGACGACGGTTTTGAGTCCGACTTCAATCAGAGCTCACCGCCTCCAGCTCCGGCAGGCACTGCATCCAGCTGCACCTCCACGCCAGCTGGCCAGGTCTCCGGCAGTGGCAACAACGGCGGATCCAAGAGCCTGTTCCGTTTCTCCAACGACTTCTCGGATCGCGAGAAGCGGGAGCAGTTTGAAGCGGACACGCCACCAACTTCAACTCCTCCGATCACCCAGAAACTACGCTTTGATGACAATGTCAAGGTCTCCCAGTTCGATGACGCCGCCTTCGAGGATGACTTCGCCAAGGCCTCCTTTGACTTCGAGAAGGAACAGGTCACGGCTGGAGGAGCTGGAGGAGCCATGAGCCGAAAGCAGAATATGCGAACCAGCAAGCTGCAGCAGCGCCAGGAGCTCATTAAGAAGTCGGAGTCTGTGAATATTTTTGCCAAAAAGCAAGAAGATCCCTTCGAGGACGACGAGTTCTTCCGGTCGCCGGACCAGGAGCAGTCCAAGGAGCACCTCGAAGAGCTGCCGGAGTCCGGGGGCGGAGGCGGTGGCAAGTTCCAGTGGGGCGAGGAGGCGAACTTTGCCAAGTTCGATGAAAACATGTGATTTGACCAACTCTTTGCCAAGGCATCGGGTCATCAGAAGCAGAAGACGGAGCAGCAGCGACTGGAGATGGACCACAACTATGCGGAGATCGACGTGGTGAACGATGCGGACTTCTTCTACCTGACCAACCTGAATCACTACTACCAGCAGCAGAGGCTGCAGACCTTGATGCAGCACAGCCGCCACATATACTGCAATATACCGATCCAGGACACCACGCAACCACCACCGCCGCCGCCACTGACCAAGTCCACATCCACGAGTCCCTGGAAGGAGGTGAAGCCTGAACCAGATACGGAGCCAGAGCCGAAGCCAGGCCACTCGAAGAAGCCGCTGGAGAAGCTGCTGGGGAAGCCCAAGAAGTGGAAACTAAAACGGACGCTGGACGACTTCGTCAAGTGTCTGATCATCGCTTCCTCGGAGCATGTCTACGACTATGATGTGCTGTGGTAGGATCAGGAGGAGGATTGGGAGAGCGGCGAGTCCGGAGATCAGTCCTGAAGGAAGCCCCATAGTACGATATATAATTTTCCACACCCATATACCTTCTAGTCAACTCAAAAGCGCCATAAAACCAATTGCTTATATATCGTAGCCAAGTCTTCAACGACAGCCATGGATTCGAACCGATCTGCCCAATCCAGGATCGCAGGATCACTAGCTTAAGTCCAGTCCCCCCAGCCCAGATTGTATATATATGTATGTTTAATCGATGGAGATTCCAACCCAAACTGGCCATAGTCAAGCGTTTGTTAAAGTTTCAATCCAAAAACTCGAGAGCTAACGAAATACTCATCCCCCGAAATAAACCCCGTAAATCATCAACTAACGAAAGCAACTATCCATTGCCTATGCTAGATGTCGTCTAACCCACTTAATGGTGTTTATCCCCCGCAGGATATTCCTAGGATACGATTATGCCTACTCCTTGCATTATTTTTACAATCGATCGATGATTACTAACGTCTAATTAGTTGAATTACACACGGCAGTGTCGCATCTTAGTGTTTTATAATTTAACTACATTTATACAAAAATTATATATAAATAAAATATATAATATATATAAATATATATATATTTATACGTAACTGACGAGCAACTGAAACTGAACGATCAAGCAACTCCCTTGCATCTAAATTATAAAATACGAAAATTATACATAAAGCATATTCTTATATTTAATACGAATACGATAGTTATTGTCATTATGAATTATAAATTAAACTGTGAGAAGCATAATCCTAAATGTGTTTTTATTTCTTTAATTTATTTCCTTCCTTTCCTTTATATATTTCTTTCTTTATATGTTATACCCTTGCAGAGGGAATTATAATTTTGGTCAACACTGTGGACCCTATAGGGGAAAACACCATCCCCACCATCCACCATCAGGAAAAATTAACAAAAAATCTGAAAAATATTTTGTCTCAAGATTTTGATGCAGAATGATGGCGAATCGATCTAGAAATCGTTTAAGGTACTCCGCTTGAGAATCGGATGAGAATTGGGGAAGATATAGCCATCACAGTGGACCCTATGGAGGAAAACCCCATTTTCAAGGGATCCCATCAGAAAAAATGAACAAAAAATCTAAAAAAAAATTTCGTCTCAGGATTTTGATGCAGAATGATGGCGAATCGATCTAGAAATCGTTTAAGGTACTCCGCTTGAGAATCGAATGGGAATTGGGGAAGATATAGCCATCACAGTGGACCCTATAGGGGAAAACCCCATTTTCAAGGGATCCCATCAGAAAAAATGAACAAAAAATCTAAAAAAAAATTTCGTCTCAGGATTTTGATGCAGAATGATGGCGAATCGATCTAGAAATCGTTTAAGGTACTCCGCTTGAGAATCGGATGAGAATTGGGGAAGATATAGCCATCATTGTGGACCCTATATCGAAAACTTCATCACGATAAATGGACACAAACTCCAATCTTAGCCGCAAGGGTATATCACTTCGGTCCCACCCGAAGTTAGCTTTTCTTTCTTGTTATGATTTTAATCCACTCTATTTCTATACCTACATGTGGTTATTCAATGTGGATTTTGTAATCCAAGCTGTTCCATATTCGAAGTTATGAAGGCTTGAGCCTATAATTTGGTCCCTTTTTTGGGAAAACCAGAGGGCCATTAACTCTGGCTTTGGGCCTGGTCTCTTGTATATAAAAGGAAGCCCTCCAACCAAGGCATGTATTCAGCTTTGGAACTCTGAAGTAGAAGCATTAGAAGTCTCTTCAAGATGCAGAATTTGGTAAGAAATATTTTTGAAAATAAAAGAACAAAAGCTTTAAAGCTTCCGTTTTTTAGATGTTTATTCTATCCCTGGGATTGCTATCCTGTGTGGCAGCTAGGTCGACTGTTGGTCCTGTTCTTTTCAACCCACCAGTATCGCCGTTTGGAGTTTTTCCAGGACCCACTGGCTATGCTGTTGCTCCATTTGCTGGTCCTTTTGGGGGTGCCTTTCCTATTCCATTGACTGCTTCACTGGCTTCTCCTTTGGGTAATGCTCCAGGTCCTGCTCCATTAGCGGTTTCCAGCAGCCAACGTTTGGATTACTTCAACCAGTTTAATGCCGCCTTTTCTCCCAATGCTCCTGCCCGCATCCTGGCTGCCACTCCCACTGGTCGTCTTATTGCTCCCGGAGTAGCTGGCCCATTTTTCTTATAGTTTATAAAGTCAAATAATAAAATATTTAAATAAAAATTGATTAACCATAAAAAGAGTGTTTAAGGATCATCCTCTAATACATGGAGTAGCGTTTATTATATTTCTGTAGGCATATAATATCATTTGGTATTTGATTATTATCACAAGAACCAGCGGGCTTCCAAGCTCCTCCTTCACCAGACACTCTTGTAACCGTAGCCATAGTTTGGGTAAGTGGAGTAGTAGCCATATGGATAGGTGTACTGATAGGTGGAGCCGTAGGGGTAGCTGGGGTAGCTAGCCGTAGGATAGACAGGATAACCTCCACTGTACTTGTAGTAGGTGGGATAGGTGGCCACTGGGGGAGTGGACACATAGAAGCGATTCCAGTTCCTGGTAACAAACTGATGGCTGGTGGCCAGTGGTACGCCTGCGGGAATGGCAGCCGGAATAGTTGGGATCACTCCTGTGGTGGCAGGTGCAATGCTGGCCTGGGACAGAGCTGCTCCCAGCAGGAGGTAGCCAAAAAGGGTCAGCAATACCTAAGGTCCTTTGGGGTTACTTTGAGTTCCATGAGGAGAGTATCTACTTACAAGCTTCATGACTAGGCAGGGACTGGCTGGGAATGGATCACTGTCGTCTATCCACCCACTGAACTGGCTTTTATACCGAAACCTCATTAGATTTGACTTTCAAATGCAGTTGCCCATTCGGGGAGGTGCATCCATTTTTGGGCCACCACTCGTCCAAGGGCACCGTCGCATTCCCAAAGAAGCGAAGCAAACAAAGCCCCGAGGTGACGCAAGCGGAATTGGCAAACAGACTGGGCTTCTGGCCATTTAATTATGCTGCAATCCATTGATCGCCTTATAAATTGATTTAAAAGTACGGCAGCTGAGCAAATAAGTCATTTTTGGATGGATGGGAGCTCGGAATTATATAAATAGATGGGAGGGCTATTTGGGAGCTATCAATATCCGAAAGCAATCATGAAGTTACAACTAGCTCTTCTCCTTCTGGGAGTGACTGCGGCCTTGGGTCAGATTGTGCCCAGGAGCAGCTGGTGTCCAGTGCCCGTCTCGCCGCGTCTCCCCCGCCTCGTGGGTCCGGCTCGCTATATCATCATCCATCACACGGTCACAGCTCCCTGCTACAATCCCCACCAGTGCCAGGCGGCCCTCCGCCAGATCCGTGATGGGCATCTTCGTCGCAAATTCAGGGACATCGGCTACAACTTCCTGATCGGAGGGGATGGCAGGATCTACGAGGGACTAGGCTTTGGCGTCCGTGGAGAACATGCTCCCAACTACAATAGCCAGTCCATAGGCATTGCCTTCATAGGCAATTTCCAGGGTAAGTACCAGTCTTGTGATCGTGAAACTCTTATCCTCATGATCCCCACTTTTCAGTTGGCTTACCACCTGGCCAGATGCTGCAGGCCGCCCGTAATCTCATCCAGATTGCTGTGCGACGTCGCCAGGTTGTGCCCAACTATACGCTCCTGGGACACTGCCAAACAAAGGCCACTGCCTGTCCAGGACGACATCTGTTGGATGAGCTGCGCAAATGGCCAAGATGGCAACCAAAGCCCTAAGTCTATGAACCTTATTAGTAATCTTTCATTTCTAGCTAAATTTTCTAAATAAAAACAAATACATTTTCTTAAAAAAATATATTTAAAATTTAAAATTAAAAAACTTTCTAGCTTTAAAGCTGCCTCCAGTGGGGCCACGTCTTGATTTCATTAAAGAGCGCATCTCCTGGGCATGCGGTGGCCTTGGTTTGCCTGTGACCCAGCAGGGTGTAGTTATCCTTCAGGTGACCCCGCTGCTGTGCCAATGCGATCAGGTCCTTGGCGTTCTGCAGCATCTGGGCCGAGGGTGGGCTGCTCTGGAAGTTGCCGATGAAGACAATGCCGATGCTCTTCCGGTTGTAGTTGGGGGCATGAGATCCCTGCAGTCCAAAGCCCCGGCCCTCGTACACCTTTCCATCTCCGGCCACTATGAAGTTGTAGCCAATATCGCTGAAGTTCCGACGAACCTTGTGATCCGTCTGAATGGCCTTGATCATGCGCTTGCACTGGTCGCTGGTGGAGCATCCATTCGGGTTGTCCGAGTGGTGAATGATCACATAGTCCACCGGTCCGGAAATTCTGGAAGGCGATCGTGCCGCCACTGCTCCCCAGCTGCTTCTCGGTTCGATTTGCAGGGCATCGGCGGAGAGAGCTACGGGGGAATAGACAAGCAAGATGATTACCTCATGGATGAGTGAGGGGCTGAGCTTGGTAGATTACCTAAGGTGCACAGCACCACAGAAGCTACAATCGTGAATGTGTTCATCGTTTTGAAGGGAAACTAACTATGAGATTCTGTGGGCTATAGACGATGCTTAAATAGGAGATCCAGGATTTCCACAAAGTCGACGTTTGGAATACTCTTAAAGGTAGAAGATCATTAGTTTCAGAAATATATTCCCACAAGAATCAGAAAAATATAAATACCCCAGTCCAGGGCAACAAAAAACACCGATTACGGTGAAGAACCGAGTGGGAATCACTTGCGACCTGCGAGATAAGACATTGCTCTGGAAGACCCTGTACTTTGAAGCAAACAAACATCTGTGTTTGAATTTAAAAAACTTTATATTTCTAAAATCTAATATAAACAGTATATTGCAAAAGTTAAAACCACATCCTTTACTCCTCGATGGCCTTTCGCTTTTTCGCAGTGCGCTGCTTCTTTGTTTCCCGCGGCAAGGACTTATCTTGGTCCTTCTTCGTCGTGACCTTTTCCTTCCTCTGGTCATAACTGGCTTGAGCTGCTCCTGCCTTGAGTTGCAGCTTCTCCATGAGAGTAAGTGGCCGGTCGGAGTTCTTAGCCTGCTCCTGCTTCTTATGAACCAGAGCCTTGTGGGCCACTCGCCGCTTCTGGGCAGCCTTCTGGGTCTTCTGGTTTTGCTGACGGTTTCGCAGCTGGTACAAGGCGTGCTTGTAGACCTCCGCATGCTGGACCTCGATGTCTGGTGAGACAGTGATCTCCTCGCCCAGTCCCTTGCCTACATCGTTGACCATCTTCTTGAAGGATGCTTGATCCTGCTCGGTGAGCAGGGTAACTGCTGTGCCCTTACGGCCAGCACGGGCAGTACGACCCACTCGATGAATGTGGGTCTTGATGTGGCGCGGTGCCTCGTAGGACAACACTACGTCTATGTCCGCCACGTCGATACCACGGGCCAGGGCATCCGAACAGATCAGACCGTTTATCTTTCCACTGGCAAAGTCTCTTAGTCTTTGCTTTCGCACCAGTGCCGAAAGATTACCCGACAGCTCCTCCACTCTGGTCTCGTCCTCTCTGAAAAGGACTCCCATTACAAAGGCCAAGCGACTGGCCTGATCCGTGCTGTTCGTGAAGCAGAGGAAGCGCTTCCACTGGTACTTCTTCACCAATGCGAACAACGTCAATGGTTTCAGTCGCATTTCTGTGATACAGAACTGTTCCGTCAACTCTGCCGGGGTGGTGTATTTGCCCAAAAATTGTCCATCTGCATTAGCTTCTGCATCACCCTCCTCGCCCTCCCCAGTTGGTTCCCTGAGCACAGGCATCACCGTGGTGAAGAGACGCGGCTGGAAGAGTCGTAGGTTTTGAAGTTTTTCCGGATCCTGGGAGAGAGTGGCTGAAAACAGAAGCTTGTGCGGTTGATTTCCGTAACTGGATTGAAGTTCCGCATAACAAAGGGGGGCTTGAGTGCCGGCTAGCAACTGATCCGTAGTCTCCTTCACGTGGCTATCCAAGTGATAAAGCCAGTTCTGGAAAACAGCGTCCATGATTCGGTCAGCCTCGTCAATGATCAGGAACTTTAGGTTCTTTAAGCAGAAACCTTTCGTGGCGTGCAGGTGATCCACTAGGCGACCTTTTATGAAAGAGAGATATTAATATTAATCCTTCAAGATTAGAATGCTTTGCCCATTTACCTGGCGTGGTAACCACAATGTCCACCTTGCTGTAGTACTTTCCCTTGTAGAGCTCCACCAGCTTCTCCTGCTCATCTTCCAACTTGTGTTGCTTGGAAAGCAGACACACTTCCAGTTCGGTCTTGTTGCACAGAGCACTGATGACCTGGTACACCTGTAGGGCCAACTCCGCCACGGGCAAGACCACCAGAGCTCGGATTTTGCACTCCACCCGTTGTGCTAGCAGCTGGACGATTGGAATGGCAAAGGCTAACGTTTTTCCACTACCGGTGGGTGCGGACACACATATGTCCCGCGGACGAAAAGGCGGGGGCTTGGATTGGGCCTCCAAAATCCAGGGAATAACCTCACGCTGAACGGGGAAAAGCCGCTTGATCTTCATCTGCTTGAGAGCCAAACATGTGGATTTTTCCAGGTAGGGAAGCTGCTCAATAGCCTCCGTTTCGGGGATCTCTTCGTCTGCCTTCAAACTTCCACCTTCGATGATGGTGGGATGAGCCAACCAATTAGGCAGCTGCATCTCCACCTTCCTCCGCTTGGCGGCAACCCCATCGCCTCCCAAAACTTGGAACTCGTTGGAGGGCACAGGCTCCTCTTCAGTTGCTTGCTTTGCCTTGTCTTCATCTCCAGGTGCTTCCAAAATAGCTTCAGCAGTTTCTTCATCTTTGGTTTGGGTTTTTTCTACTGGCGGCTCCACAATTTCAGTTTCCTTGTGCTTCCTCTTCCTTTTGGCGGCCTTTTGGAGCAGTTTCTGCAATATTTCATCTTCATTTTTGCCCGTTGGTTCATCTCTATCGGTGGATTTCTTAAAATTCTCTGTGTAACTGCAAAATATTGTGTTAGCACTGTTTGCTATGGTTAATGGTCTATTACTTACCGATTTACAGTGAATAATTCCATATTTAAATCTCTTTTTATTCAAAAATATAGTGAAGAAAAGAGAGCGCACGTGTTGCAATTTGTTTACGTTTTTTTAGCCCAGTGTGACCATGGCCAATTCTCTGTTAACTTCCAACGGAGTTGCCACTTTTCATTAATGGCGCGAAAATTCAAATTTATTAAAACAATGATAAGGTTAATAATGAACCTTCTTAATTATTCAAAAACCTGCGGTTAACAATGAATTACTTTGTATCAATATATAGATTTCCAGTTTTGTATAAATAATGTGTAAAAAGTTTCCATAACAGCAAGCAAAACAATATTCAACGGAAATAAACAATATTAGTTCTTAATCCAGTTTTCTGGGGATTTGTGATTTCCCTATGAAATGCGTTGGTTGGATGCGTCTGTAAGGTGCCCCCAACTTCATGGGTTTCTTTGGGGGTTTTTACGCCGGTCAGTGATTCATAATTGCCAAGAGATTCAACATTCTCCACGTGAGCGGGAGATGCAAAAATAAACCACAGATTCAGACTTTAATTAATGATTTTGGCCAAGACTGTAAAACCGGTTGAATGCGTTCGAATTTGATCCACAAAAAAGAGAGTTTTTTGAAAGAAAAGCAATTGACATAGGATGAAGGATTTATTTAAAATCTTCCTAAACACTATACACTTAAAATAAACACATTTGACCGCATTTCCGTTTATTAATTTGTATTTTTAAATGGATCCATTAATCATTCAGCTTTGAATACAACTTGATTCAGTTTTGCTTGTAAGCTGTGGCAGTTGAACACCTGTGTTGAGGGAGACACGCCCTCAATTGTGTCAGAATTAGTAATTTTAGAAGCCCACCGTTTAAAATGCTTAACACCTTTCCCTAGGGTTAAAGTTCTTTTGTATAACCGCACGATAATATTTAAATAAGGGATATAAATATGTTTATGATTTCTATAAACACGCGAATCAAGAGAACACCTGTTATGGGACTATATGATTTACACCCTTATCACGTTTTTATAAAATATCTGAATAGATATATAGAGTCTCTAATGTTTCTTGACTGACTTTTAAAGCTCTTAGCCAAAATCAATGTCATATTCTTTAGATTTTGGCAAATGTCCGGATTAAAATATCAAACTGGAACTGGAGTTATGAAACGAGGTTGCGGATACGAAAGCTGTCCATTAAAAAGCCCATTGTAAGGCAACAAAACGTCATTGTTTGGTTCTCTTTGGGTGATTCCAATAACAGAACGGGTTTTTTTTATATAAGATTTTGTGTTTTGTTTTTTTTTTTATATTTACGTCAAAGTCAAAGACTTGGTTCTTTTACATTGAAACCAAAATATATTCTTATCTTCCCTGTTCCATTATCTTTTATCGCTTCCTTCCTAATTAAATTTCGTTCACAACTTTCTCACTCTCTCTCTGAAAGTATCTTTATTTTTTTATCAATATTCTTTGGAAGAAATGTACATAGTTACCTGGCAGTTGTATAAACAGAGACAGACATTGTTTCCTACCGATACTATAAACTGATTAAAAACTGGAGAAAAAGTTGTTTTGGCTTTCAGTAAATATTCGATAATTTAATGTGATAAACGTGTTGTTGAGATAAAACGTAAGAATTTCGGTTCGTAACTGATATATCAATCATATCTACAGATATACTTACAGAAATCTATATTTTAATGCCGTAATGATGCCCTTTGCGGGTATTTTACGGTTCTATTGGTTTATTTATAAGACTTGTAATTTATGGTTAGTCGGTAGAGTTTTGAATTTTGAATAATTTTTGCATGCGATTAAAGATTTTGCTACATTTCCCATTGCGTGCTGTTCAAGGGGAATTCTCTCGTATGTTTGTAGCCAGAAGCCACCAGTCCTGCTCCCCCTACCCCGTCCAGGTAAAAGGTAACCGGTAAAAAGCTAAACTTCAAAAATCAAACAAAACAAAGCCGAGATTCAATACGGAGACAGACACCTGGAAGGGTGTGAGAGTGGGTGAGTGAGACAGCTTGAGAACTTGTCTATGACTGAACCGATGCTGACGACGACGTCGCCGCCGTCTCAGTCACCGGCGATCGCTTTATAACGGTAGGATATAAAAACGACAGAGTTCATTTGCAAACGTTTCGCGCTCGGTTTAAAACGCTTGCGAATCGCTCCAACTGCCCCCCTCCAAAAATCGCGCGAAAAGTTCTATATTATTAACGAAAAAGTTTAAGGCATATTCTCGTATGCTAACAAGTTTTCGTTTTGGATTAAATTAGTTTCGCGTTTCAGGATAATAAACATGTTGAAGTTAATACTGTCTATATTTGTGCTAATTGCTGTGTAAGTGTTATTTTAAACGAAACTAAGTGTTGCAAATAAGGAGGTTTTTGAAACATTCTGATCAGAAGGACACCAAGAGTTTTATCTCCAAAAACTATACTTTTTAGAGCAGAGTATTTAAGCAACTTCTAAGCAGAAAGCAGAGAATTAGTTACAATTACAATAGAAAGTAATAGTATTTACAATTTTCCCATCTAGTTTATTTATTAGATTTATTATTTATTAGATTCTAAATTGAAACCAAATTCAAACCAAATAATCAAAAAAGAATCACTTAATAATTGGTATAAAAAGTCATAACATGTATTTAGCTATTTATTTCTTTCAAGCTTAAACTGCCAAAGGAAATTAAAAATATTTATTTTTAGGTTTTTTGAAAAAAATATTCAAGGACCTTTCCAAAAATAACTATTAATATAAACTAGTATTTAGAATCAAAATTAAAAGATTTTATTAGCCTAGAAATATATTTTAAAAACAAACTAAAAAAAAACATCTAAAATTGCACCACAAATTATCTAAGAAAAGTAAAGGAAGAAAAGTATTTAAAAATGTTTTAAAAATAAAGTCATTCAAAACAATTAACCTTTCCTTGCTAGGTAAAATAGATTCTAAACATAGATTTTATATAAAATAAATTGCCAAAAAAACATTCGAAAACCGCCTTGGCATGTTTTAAAATTTCCAAAAACGCGGCTTAAACTCAAAAAGAAAGCCCCCCGAAATGTGTATCGCATTCAAGGCGACCTTGGCTAAAATCAATAATCGCCACAAATGACAAGCCAAGATCATAAAAATGCATACAAAATTAAAAAGTAAATAAAAATTGTCGTAACATTCGTCAACGTTTTTGAATGTCACTTGATTAGCAGAGCGTCGAGCAGATATTTAGCAATCTCTTTCGTTTAGCACATTACCATAATATATATATATTTTGTGTTGTATCTTAGTTCGATGAATCTTGTATCTTGCAGATGTCGCGGCAGTCCGACTAGCAGTACGCGTCGCTTTCCAAACGACTTTCTCTGGGGGGTCGGCTCGTCCTCCTACCAGATCGAGGGCGGATGGAATGCCGATGACAAGGGCGAGTCCATCTGGGACTTCCTCACCCACAACCAGGCGGAGAAGATAGTGGATCAGTCGAATGGCGATGTTACCGCAGACAGCTACCACCAGGTGAGCCACAAGTCAATTGGTTTAATCAGGCAGGTAAACACATATTGATTGGAAGTTATGCAAAGAGTTCAAGATCTCCGATGATGCCGTCGAGCTGAGGTAATCGACTGGAAAATATGTGAGCAATGGCAATTGATTCACTCTGACGGCTATTAGTTACATGGCTAATTACCAAGAATTATCCAGATCTTTTCACAGTGATCAGTGATTCCTTTAGAATCAGATATAGATGCAGATAATCAACTGCAGACACTGGCTGATCTCTGGTTATGGCCCCAATTAATTTAAAGCCAAGATCATTGACCAATTATGTTTTTAATAACATGCCTTCTGGCAATTACCATATTTCAAGTGGCCATCTCAAATACGTGTTAAATCATCCACAAAAGTGCGGACGGACATGCAATTGGATTTAAAAAATTAAATAAACATTGTTGCCTCCAATTACAGGCCGTCAATAAATATTTGCATAGTTCGGTGTCTGATGAGCAAAAAATGAAATAAATCATTGGAAGCTGGTCTTCTGGCACGGGGACACCTGTTTCATAATTTGATAAAGTACTCTGTTCTGATAATCTTGTCTTTCCAGCTGTAGCTTTTCAGCGCTATAGCGCTATAGTTTTTTTTGATTAACGACTCTCGATCAGCGTTGATTTAATGATTATTCCATAATAGATAGACTCTAAAGGGCGTGACTGGTTTGGCTATAAACATATAGTAGGGCGTACGAAACGGAACTAGACCTGTGATTGATGAGAACAAATGGAATATTCTGACAGATGGTAGCCCTATCTGGCTGGTTTCGCTAATAAAGATTTATGAAGTAGTTGTCCTATTTTCGGTTTATACTTTAAGATTAAAAGTAAAGAACAATGACCGCAGTGTTGACTTTTTTAAACAAACCTTTTTCTTATCCGCATAAGACGACCGCCCATAAAGTCTGATATCTAGATCTCCTTCTCCAAAAATTTAAATAGCTAATATGATTTATTGACTTAGCACTCGGCTCGTGTTGGAGTGAACATTAATTGTATCATAATTCGCCTCCTAATGCCAATCAATGTGGACCAACAGGTGCCAACTGCCGTGCCGTGCTCACATCAGGTGGAAAAAAAAACACTTTTTTGTGTTTAGGCCTTATCCGCTCGTATTGTTGTCAACGACGGCAGGCGATTTGATAAATGGATTAAATGGTCGGACAGACAGCTTAAACGCCCCTTCCTTGCATTTATGCAACTCTCAATGATCGCGATTCCAAGTGTTTTCAATTCCAATTCAAATTCAAAGCCAAGCTTATGACACTGACCATTGGGGGCGCATGGAATGTGTCGCCAATGACCAACTGGTTTTTCCATTTCGATTCGGGGTCCAAAATTTTTGGCTCACAATTCTTGGCATAGTTTCAAAAAAAAAAAACCCCAAGTCTAGTTCTCCATCTCAAATGGCCACTTAGTGTATCCACTTGATGGCAATGTCTGCAATTTGTCCACTTCAGGTATTTAATTGGACTGATTAGTTGTCTTTAATCGACAGCCAAAGTGACTGCTGAGCCGGAACAATTTATTGGCTACTTGCTG